CCCCCCCCCCCCCCCCCCCCCCCCCCCCCCCCCCCCCCCCCACCCCAAAAAAAAAAAAAAAAAAAAAAAAAAAAAAAAAAAAAACAAAAAACCCCCAAACCCCCCCAAAAACCAATACCCCCCCAAACCCCCAAACCACCAAAAAAAAAAGAAAGGTGAAAAACCCCCCCCCCCCCCCCCCCCCCCCCCCCCCCCCCCCCCCCCCCCCCCCCCCACCCCCCCCCCCCCCCCCCCCCCCCCCCCCCCCCCCCCCCCCCCCCCCCCCCCCCCCCCCCCCCCCCCCCCCCCCCCCCCCCCCCCCCCCCCCCCCCCCCCCCCCCCCCCCCCCCCCCCCCCCCCCCCCCCCCCCCCCCCCCCCCCCCCCCCCCCCCCCCCCCCCCCCCCCCCCCCCCCCCCCCCCCCCCCCCCCCCCCCCTTCATTTAAATTTAACTTAACTCCCCAATGTTTTAGACCTGAGGTTAGATCCAAGTCTTAATCAACGGGTCACCATCGGGTTCGACGTGTTTCTAATTTTTTTATTTACAATTTTACGGAATGTGTGTAACCAATAGCACCGGCTCCAACATCCTAATAATAATCAATGTTTCATTTTCTGAAACACGTTGGTCTTTGTTCGGATATCTGGATATTAAAATTTGGAAATATCGGAATTCGCCTGGGTCATGAACCACATATCCCAACCACATTTTATCATCCACAGATGAAAAAGTCGTGAAGTTTCACGTGTCGATTTCAGGCTGTGGATCTCAGAATGTGAAAAAGGTTTGATAGCGCATCTTGTTGAGATATTATTTGGCGGGGTATTTTATCTACCTCGTAATATTTAAATTAGTTCAATGCTTTTTTCTAGATAAGTAACATATTGAGAATATTTCGACCAAAGGCAGTAAGATTGCCAACACCGCGATTCGTAATCTACATAATTCCAACCAGCAGCATATATGCATATAATTAACTGATTTAAAATGGAAAAACGCTTCAGTTCGGAATAAAGGATGGTGGACCCATTTCGTCCATTTAACGGCTTAATCCATATTTATTTTATCGGAGCGTAATTATGGTAATAGACTATTTTCTTAAAAGCTTTTCACAAATGTTAGGGAATCCGGGCTCCGCAAATGCATTACAGGGACAATTTGCTGTTAATTTATGGGAAAAGAGCGGAAGACCTTTGCTAAATTTGAAAATGAACTGAAACGTGCAATTTAGCAGTGGTCGGAATCAAACATTCAGTTCTAGAAGTGACGCACGCTGCGATTTTGCTCATTTGTTTTTAATTTTTTCTTCATCTTACGGGAGTGCGTGAGAAGAGAGAAGGTAGTGTATGTGCTTGAAAAATTAAAATTTTTAGTAATTGTCTAAAGAAATAGTCATTGATTATAATTAGTTATTGCGAGATTCATTACAAAATTCATTTTTCAAGTACTGTTCCAATCAGCTATGAAATAAACCTTCATCACTGAAACGGACACAGAATTGTGTTCGTTAATGCCCCAAGGATCGCTCTTTTCAGGCGTTATTCCTCTCGCCTTAAAACATTTCACAGATAAATAGAGCACGCAAACTTTTCACAGCACACCGTGTTTACAAAAAATGTACTATTGCACTCCCAAAGCTAATATAAATATAGCGGAAAAAGCGAAGTTCCCGCGGAAAACCTTTACAGAATCACGCCCGAACGTGTAATATGTTACATTTACGAATTTTGTAAGAGCCCTCCCCTACGCGGCTTTATTTGATTTTTATTATTGCTGCGGAAAGATGTTCTTTCCAACTTTGCACGTTGTTATAAGGCTAGTTACCTGTGCAAATAAATTTCTTTCACGTTATGCAAACTTGGGAGGCTTTATTTCGATATCTTATTACAGATGGAATTTTCCGGAGAGCGAAAGCGGAAATAGTTCGACAGCGGATCGTTAGATCGTATTAGGATTTGTTCTTAATGAATTCTTAGGAGCCACGGTCACGGAGAGTGTCTTTAATATGTCCCTCAAGTAAACTATAGACGATATGTATAGAGTATAAGGTATCGTGCCAGAGTAAGGTCTCCAGCCCCAAATAACTCAATAACGCGAGGCGGAAGTTCGAAAGACAAGTTCCTAACTCTCTGATAAATCGTCCGAATTCTTCGAATAAGTTAACAAAGGGATTAATTTTGTTTAATTAAAATTTTGAGGTACTATATTTATCGAGGGAATAATTTTTAACCCTATCAAAGGAATTTAATAAAGCGGCGTCCGTTTGGAGTTTGATGAAAATATTTCCGTTAATATTCGAGAGAATATTATCTCGATACTTTCGAGTAATTTAATAAACGAGTTTGCGGTATTTGTATTACGAGTTCGAGCGGGATTATAACTCAAGGTTTATTATTGTTTCGGATGTCATTTAATTGTTCGCGCAAACAAACCGAACAAAAAGTTTGAGAACAACTTTCGCATTTTGTATTGTTATTCAGTTTTTAAAGTTGCCGGGTCTTCGAAAGACAACAATGACAGCCTTTTACAACAGTTAACCCGTGTTTTGTTAACTAATCTTAAAGATCGACGACGATCATTGGCGCAATGGTTAAAGTAATTGACTACTAATATTTCAGAGCTAAATAATTATGTTCAAATATTAAACGTAGTTTTAGAATATTAGGACATTCCTACTCTGGAAAGCACCATAGTAAAACGTTTGGACACCACCTCACATACGAAAGTAACTAAACGCTAACGCTAGTAAACTGGTCGACTTCCGACTGCCGATACCCATGGAAAAAGTGTACTATCTCTTTACCAACTAAATGTTTTTTTTTATTTTGACGGGGTCGTGGGTTCGATCCCCATCGGGTCTTTTCAATTTATAACTTATCGGAAGCATGTTGGTCTTCGTCTGAAATCTGGATATTATATGGTTGGTAGGAATATCGGAAATTCCATTCGGATCATGAACCACCGTCCACAGATGAAAGCGTCGTGAAGTTTTATCGTGTTTCGGCTTCGGTCTGTGGATTTCCGAATATTCAAAGCCAAAATAGGTCGATAGCACATCTATGTGCACTTCAACTCCCATCAAGTGAACCCTACGCTTTTCTGTCATCTTCTATCATAAAAGAAAATGTTAAACGTACGATTCGCCGAACACGCAAATTTAAGTACGTGCTTATATTTATTTAAACATGCTGTATTCATAATGCAAATGAACTTTAACTGAACTATGTCGAGTTATTTGAATAAATTAATAAGTAAATTCAATTGTTCCTCAAGTAAAAATGACCTCGATCATTAGTAATCTAATTAGACAACGTGACGTGAGGCCGAAAAGTCAGCGAAGGACAAACGTTTCGAATTTGTATGTTAATAATAAAAGTGAAAGAGAATCGTCTTATCTTGTAGGCTATACCTAAATATAAATATTTTTTAAAATAAGAACAACAGTAAAATAAGAACCAACAATATAAATATTTGAAACATTTTATCAGCATAAAAAATTACCTTTTATCACTTTTAACGGAATATTTCAAATGAAAATAAAACGTGGAAGAAAATAAATACGGACCAAACCACTTAAATTATTGAAGTATATATAAACTTCTGAAGTAGAACTTCGCAAATCTAATAATGTATTATGTATGTTAAAGTTTGAATTTGAATGAGTAAAATACCTACTCAAATGTATTTCATGTTTATTATTAATACGGTCTAATTTTATAGGTTAATTAGAACGTTACGTTTAAGATGGTTCATAGGTTTTTTTTGTAAAGTGTTCGTTTCCATTAAGAAGAATACTCCAAATTACTCTTTCATAACTTATAGCTGACCATAGTCATATAATAATTTTGGTCTTCTGGTTTTGCTTTTACTTAGTGCAGAGTATTTAACAGTAAAATTCCCTAGGACCACAGAATACCCGCCACGTGCATCAGGCAGCTAATAAATAGAGAAAAAGTTGTAACTTGATTGAGACAGGCAATAGCAACTGTAAACACACTTAGCGAACTCTTCGCCGAGGGAGCGAGCGTCTAAAACAATCCACAGTTCGCAACTTGCGTCCGATAATAATATGTGAACGGAATAATTCCTTGTACGGGGAAAAAGGAAGTGACGTCCCAAAGCGCGGCACTAAGTTTTGCACCGACTGTCGGCACTGTATATGTGTATGTTGTCTTCAAAGCTAGTAGTTGAGATAAACTATAAACTTGTATTTGTTGAAAGAGGAAATTTGCTGTCAGATTTCAAAATTTTTTTTTTTTAAATTTATTTTTTTTTTCCCCTTTTTTTTTTTTTTTGGGTTTTTTTTTTTTTTTTTTTTTTTTTTTTTTTTTTTTTTTTTTTTTTTTTTTTTTTTTTTGATTTGTAGGACTCAGAATGAATATTCTTAATTTATTTTTTATTAACAGTTTTCGTGATATCTTCGATATGAAATATGACTATTACTTCTTTTGCCTTCTTTTCTTCCTCAATAGTTCGCGTGACTCGCGTGTTGCTAATCTTAAAATATTACAGTATAGTGCATAATATAAATATATTATTTTAAATAAAACCATCCTAGGGCTATGTACACAATTTCCTACCACTGGAATGGCCTCCTCACAATTTATCAATCGTTAAACGAGTGATATATATGAGACGTAATAACTTGACAAACAAGCGTGTGCGCATCCATTGTCGAGCATTTCTATAGTTCGATCAATGGCATTCAGTTTTAACTCGACTTCCAAAGACGTGAAACGTATTTATGCATCAAAATTTAAAGCCGCTATACTATAAGTTTTATAGGATAGTAAACTTTCTTGAAAAATTAAAAGATAAATTATATAGTATATATAATAAATTTGTGTTTTGTCATTTAGAAGCTAATTCGATTTAATTAAATTTTTGAATGTAATTCGTCCGAAAATTTTAGTTCTTTTCATGAAACTACGATGCACATTCAACAAAATAATATAACAATTATGTGAAGACAAGCGAACTGTTAAGAATTATTTAAGAAGAGAAAATAGGAAAGTGCGAATATGAGTGCCGTATCAGTGAACGACGATAAGAAAGTGGACTTGGATGTTGTTTTGGAAAAGTTTAGTATTTACCAGAAGTACCATTTACAGACGATAGCTCTAATATTTATTGCGTTTCTGAGTAATGCAATTTATTGCAACCAGTACGTCTTCGTGGCTGAATCAACGCCGTATAGGTAAGCTCCACTATGCTTTTAAGGTCCAGCGCTGGGACTGACTGTACATACGATTTAATTACCTACACTGATCTACGAAGAAAAAATAAACAAGACCGACCATGCTTAGATTTTTATAAGTATGGAAGTACTCTACCGCTCATCCTGGAATGTAACACATGTGTTGTTTGTCTATCTCCTTGATTTGGGACTTTTAATTAGTTTACCCTATATTATGATTCTATTTAGAGTACACCATTTGAGTTATACAGAATTAAAATAAACCGCGAGAGCCTTCTCAGAATTATTATACGAATTGATTTTATTAAGAAAAAAAAAAACTCATTTGCAAGTTTATAGCCGTTTATTCGCGATAACTATATCGACTTTTCTAATCAAAATGTCATTATTCTTCATTACCCTATATTTTAGCTGAATGTTTTTTGTCCGATCAACCAGACGAGGAGGTCTGAACAGAACGCATCCGTTCCGTCCGTGAAGCTATTACGGAAACATCCAGGACTAACAGGTGAAACGAATCTATTGGATAAAGTAGATTCCACGTGGATGTTGATCTTTCTTTCACGCCAATATGAAGCAATGCAAAGCACTCTATACAACACTCTCAAAAGATGAAGTGCCTGTCGATTTTAATAAGAAGTTAACAGTTTTAAACGCGAAATGAATCCCCCATCACCAATTAACCGCCGTTCCTGCACAGCATTCCAAACGACAGACCGTAGTTAAAATAAATTGTTAATAAGTTAACTAAGACACTTCGAGTTTTAAACCTTTATAAGTGTTTAAGTAATGTAAACTACAGAAAATAATTAAGTACCAGTTAATTCGTTCAATCTGATTTTTTGTCTGTCTCTTCCAACTATATCCTCTTACGCTCGCGGGATCCAAGCACAGGGTATATACACAGATCCAATGCAGAAAATCCGACTTCAATTAAGTCTTCAAATCATTATAATGTATTTGAAATTGTAGACTAATTGTGAACGCTATTAACTCGGGCGTAAATGTTATTGGTAATTAGTGGTTAAAATAATTGCTATAATTGTATTAACGCGAGATATTACTTTATTAACTGTTCAACTAGATTTCTCTTCACCCAGTATAAAAATCTAAACTATAATACCTTGCAATACGTAAGTAAGCAAAGTGATCGGGTTCAGGGCCTGGGAAAATTAATTTCACTACGGACGATATGATATCATGCCCGATAGCAAATTTACGATTTTCAATAATAATTTTAAATGAACCTGCAAAAGGTTTCACTTTTAAAATACATTATATCTGGGAATCGTCTGGCGCTGCGCAGTTAGTAATATTTACTGGCCAAGTGGTGGCTAAATGGTCGAATTGAAAAGGTTTAAATTTCTACCTGTTACGATTTATGAATATCAAGCACATTAAGAATATGGCATATAATGTTTTTTTTATCCTACATAAATTATTAAGGACTTTTTAGCTATCGAGGGTTGATAGACAGATAAACATAGTAATATGATCTTGACAGACTTCTTGGGATCGTTAACAAATGTGACCTTTATTTAAACGGAGTCTAATGGAAAAGCAATTTTCAAATTACATCTTAATCGATCGAATGTCTCATTACTTCGAAAATGACAATAGAGGAACCAGTAATATTTTTCCCTGACGTACCACGTCAATGCATCTAAAGTTTTCAAAACGAGGCACTTAAAGAGGTCAAAAGAAAATTAAAATTTGGATGAGATTATGAGAAAGAGACAAAACTATAATGACCTCTTGCTTATTCGGGCTATAGCTTGAACCAATAGCATAAGCCATTTATACTATAATCTGTGTCCTTGTTATTTGTAGGAGATTGTAGGTAAAAGACAACGCATAAAACACTTGCGTGAATATAGTACTATGTAATACCAACAGTTTAAGCTATTTATATAAAGGAGAATGTTTTTGCTATAGATGCGTGGATGCAGTGAACAACAGCGAGCTCTCAGAAGCGGTTTGCGGTACAAATGAGTCTAACACTTGCTCCCGATGGATTTACGAAGATCCAAGGAGTTTCGTAGCTGAAGTGAGTACCGGAATCATTAAAGTCATTACCTTTTAGAGATTATGTATTATTTTTTTATTAAAATTGTTTTTAGTTTTCTTAAGTCGGAATGTTTTTTTTAAAGCGAATTCTTTTCATCTATACTATTTAAATTTTAAAGCTTGTTTAAACACTCTAATCTCAAAAACTTCTGGTTCAAATTAAAAAAATCTTTTTTTTTTATAATCTTTAAAGGCTTTATAAATATACGTATAACGATAGGAGGAATGCAGCGAATGTAGTAGGAAACGGGTAGAATTTTCGCGGGCTTCCGTTGCGTACGCTGCGAAAACGAAAGAATGATACTTCGTTAAACGATGCAAAAAATGTCCGCGATAGTATTTGTCTACCATTTAAGATTAACTCGTAAGAACGACAGGACGCAAACGACGTTGTGGGTAACAGCTTTAATTTATAAAGCCGAGTAGGTTGTTTGCAAAAATAAATAATAACTATGCCACGCGGACGAAGTCACGAGCACTGTTAGTTAATATAGTATATAACATATAATAATATAAATATTACAGTTAAACCTATGTGTTGTCCTCCTTATCACGACTTAAAATTACATTTGCGTGATAAAGACAAAGTATGTTGATAGATAAAGATTAATACATAAAAGTAAATCAACATTGTCACTAAACCCACACAAGTAATATTTTGCAATCCACAAATTTATATTTCTCATGATAATATATAATAATGTAATAATTATAAATTGCATACAAATACATATTTTTAACTATTTTATATGCAAGATAAATAAATAGATAAGATGTGCTGTTCACGTGTTTATATTTGTAAATCCATAGACTGAAATCGAAAAACATTTACATTTCACGCTCTTTGCACTTGCGTGGTTCGTCAATCACAATTTCGACATTCCTTCTACCCATATGAAAAATTATAAATTATTTTCAGGATCTTGGCCCTGGTAAGATTCGAACCCATGAGCCGTTGAATTTTAGCCTTATTTTCATCAAAGAGTCCGTTAGACATTTCTATTTTCTTTTTTGTAACCATATAATTTTGATTTTTAAATTATGCAAGTACCTACTTAAATAAGTATATAATATAATCTCTGCAGTAGAGCTTACTGGGTCGGGTCGTTCGTCGTTTTTCGGGTCTCGTCGTTCTTGCAAGTTAATCTTAAAAGATAGACATATAGTCTCGTAGACGTTTTTTTAAATCATTTAAAGAGAAATCAATATTTTATACATATTTTTTGGGTATCTTCTATCACAAAGATGAAAAATTTCCTCCGTTTTGTTACATATTTCCCGCTGTATCTTCGCTTTTATTTGTCACAGCGCAATGTTTTATAGCCTAGAAATATATAACCTTTCTCGATAAATGCTCTAATGAACACAAACATATTTTTTTAATTCAGACCTATAGCTCCTGAGGTTAGCGCGTTCAAACAAACAAACTAACTCTTCAGTTTTATATATTAGTAATGATTTAACAAACAAATTGAAAAAACAAAATATTATCTCACCATTAGTTATTATATAATTAATTGGAGAAGTTATTTAAGTTTGTTTATACAGCCGTTTTAAGTACAATTTATCACGGTTGAACCTAATTGTATATAAAGAATATATTTTTCATTTTAATTATTTATTTTATAAATGTTTGATTTATTATGAATGTAAAGTTTTTTCATATGAATCAATAAAAGAGAGGTAAGCTCAGCATGAAAAAATATTTTAGTCACGCCACACATTATGAGAGTCAAGACCATATGTTTAAACATCTGACAACCCACGCCTGGCCATTATGTCATGCAAAGCTAATTTTTATTTTTTATCCTGCCATGCAATTTTTTATTTCTTATTTTCCACCGCTACTACATATAACTAACTTTTTAATAATTTGTATATTTTTGTATGAGTCACTTATGAGATATCAATCAATAAAACACATTTAATAGTTTTAAACGTGGAATATATTAATTACCTTGTTGTATTTTTATTGGAGCGGTCCCCTCGTGACCATAGCTGCTACAAAGTCCTTTATTAAAATATGACTAAGCTTTTAAATATCATTTACATAAATCGTAGGCGCACCCACTGTCTTCAATAATCCAATGTGTCCAGTGAAAGTTTGTTATGAGTTCAAGGGTAATTTTTAATTGTAGTTTGACCTTGCCTGCGAAGAGTGGAAGCGAACTTTGGTGGGAACAGCGCATAACTTTGGCTACATGGTCGGTTTGCTAATTGTAGGGCCTCTGTCAGATAAGTAAGTAAAGATTGCTATAGAACCCATTCTTCACAAGAATAATCCCTTAATAGTTTATTATTGTCTTTCGGGCTGTTCGGCCGACGCGAGCGAGAAGAGGTTCGAGAACCTCTTCTCGCTCGCGTCGCGAATGATGAAGAATTAATTCTTCGCGCAATCGAGGAGTTAACATCTCCTAAGGATGCCGCCGTCCACCCGTTATGGCGAAACGTCGAGAACCCCTTCTTGCTCGGTTGAACGATAAAAATAGTCAATTTTACTTAACACAGTTATTAAAAATAAACACAAAACCTACTATTATTAAATCCTAAAATAATCGCTATTATTAAAAATAAAAACTACTATTATTAAATCCTAAGAACAAACTAAATTTAAGAAAATCCTTTTCATTTTGAGACTATGAATGATATCCATTTTTAAATACATGCCACAATCAAAAAGCTACATAAACTTACGTACAGTTTATATTAAAATTACAACACTTAATAAAACCTTTTTGGTGCCAGGTTCGGAAGGAAAACAGCTGCAATAATAACAGGAATGCTAGGAGGTGTTTTTGGATTGCTCAGGAGTTTTTCAACATGGTTCTGGTTCTTTATTGCCATGGAATTTATGGAGGCTTGCATAGGAGACTCGTGTTCTCCTATGTTTGTTTTGGGTAAGTGCCCACTAAATCTATAGTGAAAAGGAGTTTTATTTGTTTGGAACTTTGGATAATTGTTTAGAAAAAAATTGTGACCATCTTCTTACTAACTAACAGCGCTTTTGTTTTCAGCTTTAGAGCTCTCTCCTTCAAGCAAACGCCTTATCTTCAATATGCTCGTGAGCTACGGGTACGCCTCCGGAGGAATTCTCCTCGCAGTTTTTGCCTGGCTAGTTCCGGATTGGCGTTGGTTCCTCAGAACCGTATATTCACCGGCTCTCCTATTTTTCCTCTACTACTTTGTCATGGACGAAAGTCCAAGATGGCATCTGTCTAACGGTAGAAAACCGCAAGCTATTAAAATAATCGAAGATGCAGCGGCCAAAAATAATATCAAGCTGGACAAGAATATGCTAGATAACTTAAGCTGTGAGAAGGAGGAAAGCACAAATATGCTAAAGGTGCTACTAAAGACCCTAAAGTCCAGAAAGCTAAGGACGAGGTTCTTCGTCTGCGTTGTTTGGTGGATGACATCCACATTCGTGAACTACGGCATGATTCTGAACTCTGTGTCGTTACAGGGTGATAAATATTGGAACTTTGCGTTGACGCAAGTAATTGATGCTCCCGGACTTGTAGTTGTTACGTACATTCTGTTAAAGTTTAAGCGAAAGAAACCCCTGATATTCTGCTTTTCTTTCGGAGCTGTGATGTGTCTGTCTCAACCGTTTATACCTTTGGGTACGTAACGAAATAATTAAATTCAGAGCATTTACCTTTACCTAACAAAAATCAAATATCTTAGTAACGCAACTTTGAATTGTAAATTACAATATTACGTAGTTAAAGTAAGTACACTAAGTAAACAATTTTAACATTTTTGAGGATTAAATTTTTTCATAATAATAATTTATACAAACAACACTGAGTCAGTTCTGTAAGAATTCTTCAAGTATTAACTTCAAGGAAACAGTTGTCTCTTTAAGAAAACAAAATGTTTTATTAAATTTAAAATTTTTATTATATTCATCGCATTTTAAGTAATTACAGGTGTTTTAATTAATATACATTTATTGTAATTTAAATTTAACAATTTTATTATATTCATCGCATTTTAAGAAATTACAAGTGTTTTAATTAATATACATTTATTGTAATGTATTCAATTTCTGCTAACATGCCTGACTAATAAAATACAAATATATAATCTTATATGGATCTGTTTTCAAAAGAAACGATAGTTATTTTCTAGTTATTAAAAAATAATACAAAATTAGTTACTATAATGTGCGCTCCACTAATAACGCTTGTTACTTTTTATAAACAGACTCCAATGTTAATAACTCTCTTGTTCTTTGATTTAACGTTGAAAAATTACAACTTTTTAACTCCTTGCAGATCTACCGTGGCTATCTATAACATTCTACATGGCAGGGAAGCTGATGTCATCATTTTATTTCGCCATTACATACATTTACACGTCGGAACTTTTCCCCACGTACACGAGAAACTCTATGCATGCACTATGTTCTTCTCTTGGTAGAGTGGGGTCTATCGTGGCTCAACAAACTCCGTTATTGGTAAGACTTTTGGAAGTGAAGCTTTGAAAATCTCCTGCAATTATGGCAATTAGCAATTTTATTGTGAATCCAATATTTAACTATAATTAACTATTTACCGTTTTAATTATTTAAATTTATACCATGTTCCCGACGACTTTTCGTTTTGGTTCGTTTAAATATTACACGTCATCGTTAATGATTTTGTATCTCATACTTAACTAGCGAATTAAAAGAAATGAATATAAAAAATAGACATTTCAAAAGCGTTGAATCGTAACTTAGAAATTATATTAAACTCATTCATTAATAGAACACTTTTAACGGTTTAAAAGGTGAAATAAAAGAGTATTAAATTATTATGATTATTAAAATTAGTTAAATTATTTGCAATTTTCAGCATATCATTGTCTTTCGGGCTGTTCGGCCGACTTGAGCGAGAATAGGTTCTTGACGTTTCGCCATCACGTGTGGACGGCACCATCATAATTCTACGAACAATCGAAGAGTTAACATTTCCTGATAATGCCGTCCACACGTGATGGCGAAACTTCGAGAACCTCTTCTCGCTCAAGTCGGCCGAACAGCCCGAAAGACAATGAAATGCTGAACGATGGCCGTGAAAGCCTTACACAATTTACTTGCAATTGTGTTATCACAATTCGTTATTACTATTTTTAGTCATCTCGGCTGCTAAAAAGCATCCGAACAACAATACTAACATTAAATCAATAAAGAGTTGCATTAAATATTTGTCTTTTCAGGTTGTTTATTGGAATGGACTACCAGCATTCATTTTCGGTTCAGCAGCGCTATTCGCTGCTCTGGCCACCTGCCTAGTACCCGATGTATCTGATGATTCACTTCCGAATAACGTCGAGGAAGCTGAGGCAATAGGACAAAAGAAGGAAGTCGCATTGTGACCTCAGATTATTCTATTGGAGTTAAGGTTGAGAAATGGCAAAAGTATTAGAACCATAGTTATAAGTGTACAAAGTATGTCTGTGCTATTTTGTATAGAATTATGGCCCTTATGTGGCGCAATTAATTCTTGAAAGTCTGTCAATGTTGTGTGATACAAGTAATCTCGATAAAATGAAGAAACACTTTGTTAAAATACATTAGCTGCTAGTGTCCTCTTCAAGAACATTGATCTGAACATAAGTAACTACACGATATAAAAAAATTAGAAACTAGGCTTAAAAATATAAAGAAAATAGAATTAACGAGTTTTTTAATGTGTTAAAAAATTAATATAAAAAAATACTAGTTAGATGACGATGAAAAGCAGGTAGGCAAATAAGTCGAATTTAAATTTTTAATACGCTCGCATGTGTACAATGAGTAATGAGTTCATAATTTCTAATTGAAACTTATTAATATGCCAATTGTTATATAGCTTATAGGCGTTTTGTTAATTTCAAATATATATAATATAGTACAATCAAAATGTTTCATTTCCTATTTATTCACATAATCCTATTGGAAAGAAAATATTTTTGTTGGGTTGTTTAAAGATCTACTTGCCTATCAATAAGATCGATAACGAAAATGGAAACATGAGTAGGTACGCATTTAACAGTCTTCAACGCGAAACTTACAAACTTATTTTTGTTTACTTTTACAGCTTTTTTATTTTTAATATAAATTTTCAGTCGATCTCATGGGAGGACAGGGTACCGAACCGTGACCAGACACGTTTTTTTACAGGCAAGTAGATCTTTCGACCATTGCAATAAAAACACCACAACGGCTGGGGCGAAGCCTCCAAAACGTCAACCCGTAGTTGAAATAAATTAAAATTAGGTACAATACTATAATTTGCGTTGAAACCGTTAAAAGAGTTTTATTTAAATAAGTTCTACTAACATAAGTTACAGACAATATATGAGTAGGGTTATGTGGGTTGAAATGTAGTATTTTAATTTAGTAGCAAGTATTTTGTAGTTAGTAATCTTGGAACGGACGTGAAATTAATTGAATAACCGACACTTCGTCGACACGAGCCCTGAATGGACAAACTGTGGGCCAATTTCCATGTTTGTTTCTAATCGAGAATTCCCAGTCGATTGCGGATATGTAATTGCGAGACGTTACAGCATGCCGTACAACGTACGGACTACGCCGCACTGCCTTTACGCCGTACGACTGTATTTTTTCAAAAGAATTTCCAATCTATACTAATATATAAAGCCAAAAAGCTTTTCTGTTTGTTTGAACGCGCTTACCTCAAGAACTTAGGTCTGAATTGAAAAAAATATTTTTGTGATAATTAGATCATTTATCGTAAAAGGCTAATGACTACAAAACATTGCGCGTTGACTAATAGAAGCGAAAATACAGCGGGAAATGTGAACAAAACGGAGAAATTATTCATCTCCGTGGGTTTCTGATGCGTACGCTGCGAAAACGGCTCAAAATACCCAAAAAAAATACATGATTTTATATGTCTATCTTTTAAGATTAACTTACGCGTATGACGGGATACGACATGCGTCGTGGATAATAAATAGCTTAAATTTACAAAGATGAAAAGGAGGTTTGCACAAACAAATCTTGATGCCCAAAATACCAGTTTTACGCGGACGAAGTCGGTGACACAGCTAGTTTTCAATAAAATTAGTTTGAAGAAATTCCCAGAATATATAAAGAAAATAGTTTATTCGTATTTTGCTGATATTAACTTTTTTGTAGAAATCTTTAATGTTTAGAGTTATAATATTAGATATCTTTGTAATGTTCGTAGTTAAATCTTAAGTTTTACATGCTAAGCGCAATGAGAGTAAAAATCGTGACATACCCATATCGTCCGGTGTAAAAGACCGTCGGCAGCTATTTTCAATTTGGCTCGGCTCACACCTGCGAGTTGGTTGCAATATTAATCTGTGCTTCTACATACAAAGGATACAAAATGTCTAACTTAGCCGTTGCATTTGAAAGAACAAATCACAGTTCAGGCTTAACGACTTTTGTAGGGAAGTCGGACAAAATGAAACATTAAGGAACCTTAAGCAGTGTAGTCTGTAGTTTACGCGAGTACATTTAAACAAAACACTTTTAACTGTTTGTATTTTGCTTCAATACGGCCCGACGATTTGGATTGAAGATAAAGGATGTCCCTAATGTCAAAGTAAAACAGGTGGCGGTAGCGCAGCACATTTGTCTTTTAAACTGATGTCAAAATGACCGCGACTACAAAGCATCCTACACGTCGGGCCGTAAGTAGTTAAAATTAATTAAACATAAGAAACGAATATAAGTCGAGTTTAAAACCGTTTAACGTGTTTTATATAAAATAAGAAACGTTTATGTAGTATTTGAATAATAAAAGCCATTACTAAGTTTTTACCAATATAAAGTCTATTTAATGGCCTAGTTTTAGATTAAAAAAAACGATTGTCAACCACGTTGAAGTTCTAATATGTTTATAAATAACTTTAGAGAACCTTTTTATATGATTGAAATATTTATACGTGATTCAAGCGTCGTATGTTTGTTTATTAGTTAAATAATATTAATATAATTTATGATAAATGAGAAAACGCTGAAATGTTAAAGCGAACGACAACTGGCAAGAAACTCGCTGCCATTCTTTTTACGTTACTAGCTACAGTGATGTTTCAGATGCGAATCAAAGCAATGACTTGCTATAAAACCAACATTAATCGCGATCAGTAGAAATAAATACCTCTTCCATTTGAGTTGCATCTTCCACCACCGCCACGACCAATATGTAAATGAAACCTGAAACACACTAGGTATTCTTAGGGCAACTTTGGTTTCATATGCTAATGCCAAATTGAATTCACAATGCGGTACGTTTGAAAGTTCAGCTTAATACGACAGTATATAGATTGCATTGACACGTAGTAGAAAATAGAAAAATATTCACCACTGCAGTAGCTGAGACGGCGTTTGTGGACTATGATCACGTGCGGTTGAGTTCACCACGATTTGAGAACAAGTAGGATCTTGAGAAATTCCTAAGAATACTTTTTAAGTATAAATAATTAATAAGCATACACTTATATAGATAAACAAAATATTTAAATTCGTGTTTGTCATGTCTATTGTCTAATGTCAATTGTCAGATGCGCTGCCGTCATGTTTCAGTGTCACGCGAAAATTGAAGTTTGACAGTTCAGCGTCGTTAACTGATTTATTTCATCTGTCGTAGTATCTACTATAATTATTTGTTGTGTTTATTATTGTGTCTTGTTTTTATTTTTTACATATTTAAAGTTTAAGTTACATATGTCAGTAATAAAGACAAACATTTTGTACTTAATTGTTTTTTGCTGAAGTTTACACAAATTAACATTCTTGGGGACGCTGGTGAGCTGGAGGATAAGAGAAAAAGAAAGAACACTCAGGTTAGTCACTTAATAATTTGTATATTCCTATAATAGAGAATACCAAATGAATAATTAAGTATTGTTATAATCATATAACTCAAAATTCAGTTATATTGGACGTTAGTTAGTTCATAATCGCTTCGTAATATGTACTCGCTCGAGTAGATATGAGTCGTTTTTATAAGGTTTTGGTAACCGTTATTTTCAAATCCTGTTTCTTATGTTATAAGTTTGTAGAACCATTTTAAGAAAACTTTATTTCTTTTACTTTTTAACAATTAGACTTAAGTGACAAAGTCAATAACATAAGTTATAATCGTCTGTATTACCAAAGTTAAAATTGCCAACAGATTCGTATTGGTTAAGAGAAAAAGGCGAAAATTCCCAAAATCAAAGATTTATGTGGACACTAAATGGTAAGCTATGAGAGCCGCGTCTAGCACCGCGAACGCGCTAGAATTTTCTATCCCTCAAAATATATTCCTACGCTTTGATACACGCTTAATATTGAAAATACTATGTGCGAAAGTCGAAATTTTTGCGCTTATTTTTTTATGTGTGCTAGAGTGAGAGCTTTAATACGCTTTTTATGTTAGAGGAGGACAGACAAGCGCAGTCATGTAATATCTAAATAAGATGCACCATCGCCCTATTTCGGCTTTGGAAATTCAAAAATTCACAAACTGAATAAAAACGTCATTAAACTTACGATCTCTTTATACGTGGACGCACCGTTCGTGACCCGGACTCGAATATGCCTACCGTCCATTTAATAGATACAGACGAAGTCCAACGTGTTGAAAAAAATACACATATTGGAAACGGTGAGGAACGCACCCGTTGATTATCAGCCATACTTTGTAACCATTAGACTAACACCACCACCTAAATGTACTGAGTATTAATAAATAATACTTATAATATGTAAAGCTCGACCAACACCTAAGATAGACTAGGAAGCGTTGAAATGCGATGGAATTTATCTCGGTAATATTTTAAAAAAGACGTCGCACAATCTGGCTTGTAAATAAACTAGCATCCGAAACGTTGGGATTTTAAACTTTTCATTTTTCACTCCTCACCCGCTGCGCTGTCGTTGAATAATTAAACAGGCGTTCAACGATAATTTTATCTTTATTTTCGATTCTCAAATGAGGACCTCGATATATTACTGGTCGCTTATATCAACTGTATCGCACGTAATGTGTATAAAAAAACTAATCGACCGAACTATATACTGAAATATGCTTATTTATCAATAGTGTGTAGTAGCGTTTTTGGGGATTTAAGAGACACTTCATTTTACGTGACTTTATTTGCTACAAGCCACTGTAATATGAGATGTTTTATGGTATATTACAATTATCTAAAATATACATTTCCTTAAATTAAATATTATATAATATTGATGACCAAAAAGGGCTAAACATAAGTGTATATTTAAAATCCAAGCTAATTATTCACCCTAAGTCCCAGTATAGAGGCATATTGTGTACAAAGACACATTTTGGACGGACCCTCGTAACGGCAACCCTTTTACCTCAGATGCTGCCGTAATGCTGACATTT